GTGGACCTCTGGCAGCTGGGCTGCGGTGGCTCTGGGGGCTGGAGCTGGGGTACACCACTCCTGCTGCGGCTGTTGGGAGAGGCGTGTCCTGCCCCACTTCTCAGCCAACCAGCGCTAGGGGTTAGGGCTGGCTCTGGGGGCTGGGGCTTGTGGCAGACGGGTAACATTTTATTTGCATATTCTTTATTTGCGTAGTGAGGAATGGCAGAACAAGGAGCAATGGTCTCGAGTTGCAGTAGGGGAGGTCTAGGTTGGATATTAGGAAAAGCAACGTTCCTAGGAGGGTGGGGAAGCACTGGGATGGGTTCCCTAGGGAGGTGGTGGAATCTCCATCCCTAGAGGTTTTTAAATCCTGGCTTGACCAAGCCCTGGCTGGGATGATTTAGTTGGGGTTGGCCCTACTTTGGGCAGGAGGCTGAACTCGATCTCCTGAGGTCTCTTCCAGCCCTAGGATTCTAGGATTCTATGAATATGTAAATATGCAAATAAAATGTTACTGGTCCACCAAAAGTTTGTGAATGGGTTTGCTGTTTCCTGGTATAAAGAAGGTCGGGATCACCGGCTTACTGGTTTGAACAGAGTAAATGATAGAGTTTCTGTAATTTTAAGTCTTTAAATCAAGATCTGAGGACTTCATTTAGAGCTGTGGTATCCAACATGCTAGCCGCTAGCCACATGTGGCTATTTGGCCGGTTGAGCGTGGCTAGTTCTTCAGGACTGGTTGAACACCACGGAGCTAGAGGTTATGGGTTTACTACAGAAGTGGGTGGGTGAGTTTCTGCAGCTTGCAATGTGCAGGAGGTTGAACTAGATGATTGTTCCCTTTCGGCCTTAGTCTGAGTGTAATGAAGCTCAAAATCCGTATGTCAGTTTTTTTTTTTCTTAGGCGCTGTGGCATTTTGCTATGTAGTTTAATACCATTTAGAGGCTTTTGAATAGCTAACGAGCATGACAGTAGTTCTGGATTCTTTATTTTTATAGAGTACGTATGATTTATCTACTGAATTCTAAGTCACTGAATGGATGAGATTATGGGAGAAACTGCATCTTCCAAGCATAATTTAAGTCATATTACTTATGACCGTCAGGCAATGGGAGGTGGCTGATCTTGGTATGAGATCACTATTCTGTATTGCGTGGGAGAAATGTAACTAATGGTTTATTAATCTCAAAGCACTTGGCAATGGGAAACAAATACATGACTACACTGTGTCAGGTTGCAACTTGTATCCTATGTAACTGGTGTATTTTTTTCAGTGTCTTGTCTCTCCCACGCGATTTAATAAACATGTTACTTTATCATTGAAAAGGAATGATATTTAAGTATTTAAAAACATTTTCCTTTTTTCCTCCCTCTTAGATGTGATGATGATCAGCTCCCAAATGATAAAGAAAGATTTGCCAGGTAAGAATTGACAGTACTGTGGTTCATAAAACCCACAAAGTCATACTTCTTCCATGTGGGGTGCCTCATCTACCCATTAGCGCATGTTCATCACCTTTGTTTTTTGTATCTTATTCTGCGGAACATCTACATTTTTCAAGAGGGAAGCTAGCAATTCTGCTAAATTGCTTTAGAACAGTTTGATTGTAAAGGCATCAAACTAATTCAGAATCACTTTTTTGCAATGCTTCTCCTTGTTCAGCTGTCATTTAGCAGCCCCCAAATCTTATAGAAATACAAGTGTGCAGTAAGCTTGTGTCAAACTTGATCCAGCATGATTTTAGTTAGCTGGGCTTCCATTTACTATAGCTGTGGCCAAGTTTCCCACTGTCCCATAAAGTTTGTTTGCAGCCACCAGTCCTGGCTTTCAGTGTTCTGTGCTGTTGTTTAACTTCTGCTTTACCCCGAAATGTCTAAAAGCCCAGTAAGCAGTGGAAGTGTTAGTCATGCTGCTACACAATATTGACCTCCTGTTGTTTGGCAAATTTTCTGGTTTGGCACCGGTCAGGTCCCAAGGGTGCCGGACTAGAGATGTTCAGCCTGTCCAGAGTTTCCTTTTCTGCCTGCAATATGCCTCCTGGGTGTTGCCTGCTAGTATATTTTGTAAAGGAATTCTGGAAAAAATGGTGCAGATAAATGGCGAGGGGGACAGGGGGGTTAATGACCAGGGAGTAAAGTAGCATTATTAGAGGACTTTGAATTTAAGGGAAGTGTCTGGGAGCGTTGGTGCTGTAGGACTTCCCTGTAAGGTTCTGAGCGCTCTCAAGCACAGCTGAAGTTAGTGGGAGCTGAGGATGTCGACTGTCTTGTGAAGAGCTCTCTGTACCATCTAGAATTGAGCATTGACGTTGTATTTCTCTGGTTGCCTTGGGCATTGAAGGGACACTGCAAACCCAGAATGATGCTAATTAAACTTATTTGAAATGTTTGTCATGTTTTTATGTCGCTTTTGTAATATTGCAGAACCTCTGTGTTTTATCTCTGTTCTGAACATTGGTTCCAGTCCATGTCTTCATTGAAAGAATCCATTTTGTCTTCTGATTTGCTAAACTTAGCCAAAACAAGCAACTCTTGAGCATTAGCAACAGTGCATGCAATAACTTGTATTAAACCTTTCAGCTAGAGGTGGCCCTAAAACCATTAAATGCCCTATATCTAGGCGCTCCTGAACTTGGAGTTAAAATACAAATTTCAGAGAGTGGGATTCCAATGGCAGCCAGTATTCAGTATCAGAACTGCTAGCCTTCCTCAGGAGAGAAAGCAGCAGATATTACCTGTGTTTATAAAGAACTTCCATTCACTGAGATCGCTGTAGGAAATGGACATTGCAGTGTGTCAGGGCGTGGCTCTTAGAGTTCAGGAGTGCCGAAGAGGCAGGAATCGTCCCGTGAAACAGGCTGACCCTTGCACAGCAGGCCTGTCTCAGGCAGAAAAGTGGTGGGTTTCTGAAAGGGAGGAGGATCAAATGGGGGTGTGGAATTTGGCAGAATTCCTTTTGCCCTATTCAGCTTCCTTGGGCAAGGTATAGTGTTTCTGCACAGGAGGCCTATTGTTGCAGCAGTTCTGCACTTCCAGGTTTCTTTCCTAACCCCTTTTTTCCCTGTGTGTTTACACTGGAGCTGTAAACCCTCTTCATAACAGTCTCGGCAGTGTGTGACCTCCCAAGCCAGCCTCTTCAAGTCTGTCATGGGCATTCACATACAGCTACTAGAGAACTCGAGGGACTCAGCTTCACTAAGCTTTTGTACTTGAGCCGATTGCCAGTTCACTTCAGTTAATGTTAACCGACCTGCGCTAGCTGACTTGTTTATCTTTCTTTGCCTAATGTAAGCACGGCCTTGGTGGCTTTTGAAGAAACTTAAATATAAGACGACCGATTCTTTAGGCATTGACACACAATGTTTCACAGGTTCTCTTGGTATCATGTGTTGTGGTATCTTAACGCTGATCTGCAGGGGTCGGACATTAGCTCTCGAGTTGGATATATAGTTTCAGTCCTTGACTCTTCCGAGGAGTTAAACTCTATAATACTCCAAGCTGGTCGTACCATGTTGCATGTGCGTTTGTGCGGAAATTCATCTTGACCTCTTTGCACGTGATCAATTTACACCTTGAAGTGTGGGATCAGGTTTTCCTTATCTTGGCGTGCATAGCTACAAATGTTAGCAGCAATGGACCTTATAAATACCCCGTTTAAAACAAACAGCTACAGTGTTTGACCTCCATTCTGATCGTTAAAAAAATTACACAAGTAAAACAGCTGAGACATTGGGGTTGAAAAGCTGCTAATGTGCAGGACCATTGTGTCTTACATAATTGTGCTAATGTGTTCAGTACTTGGTGTAGGGGTATAAAAGGTTAACTGGTTGCCCAGTAAGCATTAGGTTTATTGGAAGGCTTACTGGGTAATGGGTTAACCAGGCTTTGTCCAAATCCCAGTGAATGGCCACCAGCTGAGTCAGGGCAGCAGGTGGGACTGCGTCCCCATCCCCACCTCAGTGAGCAGGCATGACCAGGGCTCAACAAATCATGTAATCTACTTGCCCGTGGCGAGTAGATTACAAGCCAGCACAGCTGGCGCAGCACGATCTGTGCATGCACAGCTCGCAGAACCGCGCGGCTGCCAAGCCCTGGGCATGACCCCTTTGGCCATGCCAACCTGCCAACAGTTAACCGGTTAAACAGTTAAAATTATAGTTAACTATTATCTGAAAACTTAGAAATACAGCTTTTGAATAATGTGGTACCCAAGGCAACCCTGGTCTTAAAGGCAGAGAGGCTTGGGAAAAATAGTACCAGTGAACTTTTTGAAAAAAAAAAAAATCTCCCCCCCTCCCCCCAACCCTACTACTGTAAGACCAACCTATCTACTATAAGACTTTTGTAGGCCCTTTGGTTAGATGACTTGCACAGTACCGTTGTGGTTTCACCACTCCTGCACAATGTGGTCGCTCCAAATGTATGCGGTGTATGTAACAGTGCATGTGGTATATGTAACAGTGTTATAAAGGATACTTGTCTCTGTCTCTCTTGGCATTTGTGGGTGTCCTTGTATGCAAGTCTTGAGTGTCTCTTGTGTAGCTCACAAGTATGTTAACACTATGAATTGATAGGCTGTGTATTAATTAAAAAAAATCTTTTTTTCCTGAGGGAAGCAAGTGTAGTTTAATGTCAGGACTTTTTGAGGGCTCTTCCCAGCTCTGCTGCTGATCCTCTGACTTTGGACAGAATTATTTCTTTGCCTCAGTTTATCCTTCTGTAAAAAATGAATCTAACACTTGCCTACCTTATAGGCTTGCTTGATGTTTTCACCACACTTTGAGACACTCGGATAGAAAGTGCTAGATAAGTGTATAATACAATTGAGCCCCTTGTTTTGTGATTTGTTTTATTGCAAAACAGTTGTATTAGGAAATCCAACCTATTGCTACCTCTTCCCGTTTTTTCATTCTTTAAGCTTTTTTCTATTTTAGCTTAGTTCACTAATTTTATTTTTAGGTCTGATGATGAGCAGAGTTCAGCGGATAAGGAAAGACTGGCCAGGTAGGTAGGAGAATGGAGATTGCAAGCATGGCAAAGCAGAGTACTTCCTCTCCTTGATGTTTCTTCAGGCATCCCCACCTTTTTCTTATCTGCTGCAATAAAGGACTTGAAACTGGAGCGACTTCTGGATCTGTGTGATATTAAAACTTGACTGGGAGACGAGGCGTGTTCTCCTTGTGGGAATGCCCTCCACAGACCGTTTGCATCCAAGCTCAGAGAGCATGAAGATCGCAGGACAGAGTGGCTAGGCCAGTGTTTTCACAGATCAAGGTAGCTCTGCTAATTTCAGCTTTGGCAAGTAAAACCTCTCTCCTGTTGCACTGAAAGATGCTAGGTGCCAAGAAATACCCACTTTCTAAGCTGCTGCCGGGTTGTGCTGATGGTGCCTTTTACCACACTATAAAATAGATAGAATAATTGTATTGGCCAGACTTCTTGTAAATTCAGTGTTATGCCAAATACTGGTTTGGCACCTGGTAAAACAGAATGGGCACTGTGCTGTAAAAGAGTAAGACTTCACGAACCTACAGATGGTTTTTTTTTTTTTTTTAAACAGTCACTGCTTTTAAGTAATACTTGGAATTATTACATGGGTGTGTGTGTTTCAAATGTCAGGGTTCTGGTTGGTTTATTACATGCTGTCTAAGAAGCAGAGATGGCTTCTGAAAGTGCAGCATTTCATAGGTGAAATATTTAACCAGAGAAGAAAGATGTTCAGTGGATTAAAGGAAAACCCTGTAGTGTATGTCTGGTGAATGAGGGGCTCTCTAGCAGTGTGTGGAGACAGTAGCGTGCTAGACTTTCAGGAGTCCTCATTCTTCAATTGAGCAGTGGCTCTACAATCTCTCATTGCAACTGCCTTGCAAAGTCCTTCTTGTTGGGAAGAAGATTTTGCAACTGGGCATGTGAGGTATCCTCGATTTCCCCATTTAATCCTGACGGGGTAAGTGAGTAATACATGTCTGGGCAGGTAAACTTTCTTTGCAACTATGGGAAGTGGAATTAAAGGCGAATGGGATATTCACAGCACTGTGCCAAACGGCATTCCCTCTTCCTATTAAAAACTGCATAAGGCTAATAGGTGACACTTCCTTTTTTAAACATTCCCTTTTTCATTTTTGCTGCTCCTTCTACTAGCTGCCATCATCCAGTTTCATCTCCCATTGTGCCCTTTCTTCCATCTGATCCATTCTCTTCCCTTCTAACCAGTTGTTCCTAAAGGAAACCTAGCATTCTGTTCGGTTGTGAAAAATCCATTTTCATAACCCAGCTAAATTACACGTGGCCCATAAAAGCAATGTGATGTGAGCCCATGGTATCTTGTATCCTGGGGGGTGCCAATAGAGAATGCCTCCCAGGAGCAGCCTGATGCCTGAGAAGGGCATGCTGACTCTACTGGGAGGTGAAATCAATGAACATGTATTCTAATGTTTCTCGACGGCGGTGTACTCCCACAGTCAGTCACGCGGTAGAACATGAGGCACAGGTGTGCCTCACAGGTAAGCAAGTTGGGCGGCTCATAGAATACGCTTAATTGTATTGTAGAGATGCAATTGCCTCACCTTTAGAACAAATAAATCAGTAAGCCATGGAGCCTAGTGATCATATACATGACACTCCAGCAGGGGTGAGGGGCCTTGGAGTGGGTAGAAATTGTATTTACACCAGTGGTTCTCAAAGTGCAGTCCGCGGCCCACTAGTGGTCTGTGGCCACCTCCCAAGTGGTCTGTGGCTTGAGCTCAGCTCCCCCACGAGGCAAGGAGAG